TAATTTAAAGAGGGATTGAATTTACTCGGAAGATCTACACAAATTTGGACCAAAAATCCCTGTACGTTTAAGGGATAATATCACATTTGTGATATATAGAATTACCTCTGTATAAAAATAGTTAATATGAAACTCATTTATATCAGATCTGCTATGGAACCCAAAAATTACAGTACCATTAGAAGTATTCTAAAAAAGGAACAAGGTGAAAAAATTGCTCCTTATATTTTTAAAATAAATGATACTCAGACACTGGAAGCTTATCTAAGAAAAGAAAGGATTACCTATGAAATTTATCAAGAAAGAAAAATAATAAATGTTGGAAAAAGAAAGCACCATGATGATACATTATTACCTAATAAAAAGCAAAAATCCTTAAAAGGAAAATAATTACCATTTTCTTTAATAGTTGGAATGAATTTCAATTTATACAGAGGAAAATTACTTTTTTATTTTCAATCAAGGTCATTTCTTAATTTCTTTAATCTCAATTTGTGCAGTTAGTTGACCATTCTGCTGATCTTTTAATTTCCTGTTTTCTTCTTCTAGATGGTTAATCTTTTCTTCTAAACTTTTTATCTTATCTAACAACTCTTGTTTTTGCCTTTTACTCCACTCTTCTGATTTTTCTTGAAATTTGGCTACTTCTTCTCTTTCCATCATTATGGTTCACTCTGCTTCATTTAATTGTTCTTGTAAAGAGTTTATTTGTGTCTCATAAAAAAGTGACATTCCTCCCCTTTGATGGGGTAGGAGAGGGAGTTCTTTTTCTTCTAGGCTCTCATCATTTCTAACACAATAGCAAACATTTTTTCCACTAAAAAAATCGAAATCCAATTTAGTTTGTAATCTTCCACATCTCTTGCATTTTGATATTTGATCATTTCAATACTTTTCTTCACATTCCCCACAAATTACATCAACTGCAACCAGTTCATCAGTTGCTTTGTGCCTAGTTATTATTTCTTTAATGGCTTTGTTAGCTTTTATATTATGATTAGAACAAAATTCACAATTTCTGTTTTTGTATTCTCTTTCCAGTTCCAAAATTGTGTAAATTAATTCTTTCATAATACTAAACCTGTTTATTTTTTTACTTCTATCTCAGCAATAAATTCCTGGTTTTGAAATTTTTGTTTTTGAGATTTTACACTTTTTATTAGTTTTTGAAAATGAGTTTTTGCTTGTGTTTTAAAGTGTTGAAACTTGCTTTGTTTTTTAGGCAAACTAGGTAAATCTTTTTCAAGAGAATAATAAAGTTTACTTTCTAATCTTTCAATCTTTTCTCCCTGTTCTCTAATTTTTTGGCTGTCTAAGTCTAATTTTTTTGTTTTATCCTCCAATTCTTTTTGTAGTATTCTAACTTCCTCTTCACAACAATTGAGTTTATTGCCAATCACCACTAAACTTTTTGATTTCTCTTCCACTTCTTTCATTAATGCTTCTTTCTGGGTTCATCTTTCCTCCTGACCAACATCTAATGCCTTTTCTACTTCCTCTACCCTTATTTCTAATTCCTCTTGTTTTTCTTCTAAATCTTGATTGATTTTTTCTAACTCTGCATTTTCTTTTTCTAAAATAGCATTCTTTTCTTCAAGTTTTTCATTTTGCTTACTAACAAAACTATAAGAATCACAATTGAGTGATGTTCACTCAGCAAAACCTTTAACAATATTTTTAAAGGTGAATTCATTGCTAAAAGTAACTTTCTCAACTCCATTTTCTTTTTGAACCTTTACTCACTCATCTCAAGACCAAAAGTGTTGTTTTAAGGTCATTAAAGTGCCAACAATTTTTGATCTTTCTTCATTTTCCATAACATTATTAACTGCATTTAAAATTCTTAATTAAAATTTTCTTCCCTATCTGCTAATTGCTTCTTTAAATTTTCATTTTCTTCTAATAGTTGTTTATTTCTCTCTTGGAATTCATTTATTGTGTTTACCATGATTTTCTTTATTTATTTTATTTATTTGCTCTTTTAATATACTAATATACTTATATCCTTTTTATGAGGGCATATTAAGTATATAAATTATTTTAGTACTTTTTTACTTTAAAACTAACAATATTTGTCAAAAGATTAAATTTATTAAACTTAATGACAGTAAAGGACAAATTAACAAGTGTGATAAAGTAATGAAGGTGATTTTGTTCTAAATATTTTATTTGTTGTCAGCATAGAATGGTCTCGGACAAGTAATATCTTTGTATTCATCTTTCACAAATGGGCGAATATTCTGATAAAGATATTCTTGTCTTTTGTAATCCAAAGGAGGTGGTGTTAATACTAAAATGGATAAAGTTCTAATTTCTTCAAAAATATCTGCTTTCTTGGTTTCAATAAATTGAATTCAGTAAAAGGTCCATTGGCAATTTCCTGAGCTTTGACCATACTGAGATTAGTTGCTTCAAAAAGAAAATGTTGATATTTTTGTATACTTGGTAATTTCTTAAAATAAATTCCCAAAATTGCTTTAATATCTAAATACTGAAAACCTTTTCCACCTTTATAACACTGAGTTTTATTTAATCCAGCTGGACTAGACTTTTTTACCACTGCAACCACATGATCTACACAATCTACTCTTGTTTTCCTATAGAGTTTTTTTATTAAACCAAAGCTACCATCACATTTGAATTTGGTATGTCCAGGAATCATGAAATTCAGTTCAATACTTTCATAATAGCCACAAATTACCAAATATAAATAAAATCAAATAGTAGTATTATTTTTATTTTGCCCACCAGCATTATCACAAGTAATCTTTAGATGTTTTTCACCTTTGTTCAATTTCTTAATTCCATCAAAAATCATACTAAGAGTGCCATTAGGTCCTTTTCCTATAATTTCATCTTCATTAAGAACATAATTAATTTATTCCCTTACTGCTTCATCTTGAATACCAAATAAATGA